TATACTTTAATTTCTGGAATACATGTGCAGATCATGCAGGTTTGATACATAGGTATACATGTCACATGATGTTTTGCTGCACCCATCAACCAGTCACCTAGATTTTAAGCCCCACATGAATTAGATATTTGTCTTAATGGTCTCCCTCCCTTTGCCACCCACCACGACAGGCCCCAATGTGTTTAGTACCCCTCCATGTGTCCATGTGTTCTCATTGTTTAACTTGCACTTAACAGTGAGAACATGAAGTGTTTGGTTTTCTGTTCCTGTGTTAGTTTGCTGAGAATGATGGTTTCCAGCTTGGTCTATGTTCCTACAAGTGGCACGAACTCATTCTTTCTTATAGCTGCATAGTGTTCCATGGGAAATATTGCCACATTTTCTTTATCCAGTCTATCATGAGGGGCATTTGGGTCGGTTCTAAGTGCTTGCTATTGTGAATAGTGCTGCAATAAATATATTTGTACATGTGTCTTTATAGTAGAATGATTTATAATCCTTTGGGTAGATGCCCAGTAATGAAATTGCTGGGTCAAATGGTACTTCTAGTTCTAGATCCTTGAGTGGTTGCCACACTGTCTTCCACAATGGTTGAACTAATTTACACTCCCACCAACAATGTAAAAGCATTCCTATTTCTCCACATCCTCTCCAGCATCAGTTGTTTCCTGACTTTTTAATGATTACAATTCTAACTACTGTGAGATGGTATCTCATTGTGGTTTTGATTTGCATTTCTTTAATGATAATGATGATGATCTTTTTTTCATATGTTTGTTGGCTGCATACATGTCTTCTTTTGAGAAGTGTCTGTTCATATCCTTTACTCAGTTTTTGATGGGGTTGTTTGTTTTTGTCTTGTAAATTTCTTTAAGTTATTTGGAGATTCTAGGTATTAGCCCTTTGTCACATGGATAGATTGCAAAAATTTTCTCCCAGTCTGTAGGTTTCCTGCTCACTCTGATGATAGTTTATTTTGCTGTGCAAAAGTTCTTCAGTTTAATTAGATCCCATTTGTCAACTCTGGCTTTTTTTGCAATTGCTTTTGGTGCTTTAGTCATGAAGTATTTGCCCATGCCCATGTCCTGAATGGCATTGCCTAGGTTTTCTCCTAGGGTTTTTGTGGTTTTAGGTTTTACGTTTAAGTCTTTAATCCATCTTGAGTTAGTATTGAAGCCATCTGTTCATGGTTTTTAGTTTTTGTTTTTTGATGTGAGTTCTTATCACTGCTTCAATCTTGTTACTCATTATTTCCCTGTTCATGTTTCTATTTCTTTTTAATTCAATACTGGTTGGTTGTGTGTCCAAAAATTTTTTTATATCCTTTAGATTGTTTTATTTGTTGGCATGAACTTGTTTTTACCAGTATCTTATAATCCTTTGTATTTCTGTGTATCAGTTGTTATGTATCTTTTTCATCTCTCATTTTATTTATTTGAGTCATAACTTTTTGTAGTTAATCTAGCTGAAGATTTTTCAATTTTGTGTATTCAATAAACCAACTTTTGTCTTGTTGATTTTTAAATATTTTAAAAGTCTGTTTTATCTATATCCACGATAATCTTTGTTATATTCCTTATCTACTTTTTTTTAGTTTAGTTTCTGTTTTCACATTTCTTGAGGTGGTATAGATTGCTTATTTAAGATATTTCTGCATTTTTAACATAGACGTTTATTGGTATATATTTGTTGTTTTAGAACTTATTTTTTCTATATCTTCTAAGTTTTGGTATAATGTCTTTCCATTTTTATATTTCTCATATGCTTTAAAATAATTTAACTATATACTCAATGGTTGTTTATAAGCACAGTTAATTTCTGTATAGCTGTATATGTTCCCAAATTCTTTCTTTTATTGATTTCTAGTTTTATTCCGTTGTGTAAAAAAATTGACTTAATTTTGATTTACAAAAATTTTAAGACCTATTTTGACCTAAAATATGATCTATTCTAGAAGATGTTTCATGTGCTGTTGAGAAGATTACATATTCTGCAGATGTTCGATGGAATGTTCTGTAAATATTCATGTTACGTTTATCTTACAATGCAGTTTAACTCTGAGGTATCTTCTTTGATTTTCTGTCTGAATTATATTTTTATTATTGTAAGTAAAGTACTGAAGTCTTCTACTATTATATCACGGTAAATCTCTCTCCTCAATTCTGTAAATTTTGCTTTATATATTTGGATGTCCCAGTGTTATGACCATACATATTTACAATTTTATTCTGTTGCTCTAGTGTGGTCTTGATTATTATATAATGGCTAATTTCTTATCAATCTCGACTTAATATATATTTTTACTAAGTATAGCTACTACTGCAATTTTTTTATTGTTTACAATGACAATAAACAAAGTTTTCTATTTCTTTCCTTTTAGTCTGTGTATGCCTTCATAGGGGAAGTGAGTTTCCTGTTGGGACAATACAGTTGAGTTTTAATTATTTATCTATTCAGTCACTCTATATCTTTCATCTGGATCATTCAATCAATTTCATTCTGTAATATTATTAATAGATAAAGATTTGCTACCTCCATTTTGTTAATTCTTTTCTGGGTTACTTTTTGTATCTCCTTTCTCTCTCTATCTGTCTCTCTGTCTCTCTCTCTCTCTGTCTCTCTCTCTCTCTCTCTCTCTCTCTGTCTGTCTCTCTATCTCTCTTTGTGTCTTCCTTTAACGGTTAAGAAATTTTCTCTAGTAGTATGTTTTTATTTCATGCCACTTTTGTGTATTGTGTCTAAGTTTGGCTTCTTAGTTAATGAAAGATTTACAAGAATATTTTATTGTTAGATATTTTAAACTGATGACAACTTTCAGCACAAAGAAAACTAAACAAAACTGTATTTTGACATAATTTTGTCTTCCACATAATGACTTTTTGATGTCTAAATTTATATCTTTTCAAATTTCCATCTCTTAACCAATTGTAGTTACTATTTTCTTTAATATCGTTGTCTTTTTTCTTCACGATAAAGATATAAATGGCTTATGTACCACAATTATAGTATTAGAGTATTCTGAATTTGTCTTTATAATTGCTTTTACTAGTGCTTTTTATGCCTTAAGACGTGTACTTGTTACATGTGATTGTCCTTTTCTTTCCAATAAAAAAATTTTCCTTCTTATTATTTCTTATAAGATTTTTCTGGTATTTATGAATGCCTTAGCTTTTGCTGGTGTGGGAAAATCTTATCTTTCTTTCCGGTTTTAAGAATTGCTTTGGTAGGCACAGTATCTTTGCATGGCAGATTTATTTTCAGCACTTTAAATGTATATCTTATTTTCTTCTTGCTCACGAATTGATTTATTTTATTTTATTTTATTTTGAGAAATTTGATGAAACTTGAATTGTGACATTGTTTAATATGGTACAAACTTTTTCTCATATTGCTATCACTATTCTTTCTTTGTATTTGCCTTTTAACCATTTAAATAGGACGTGCCTTTGGGAAATACTCTTTGGGTTAAATTTGATTAGAGTACCTGGATACTGTCATCTTTCTCTAGATTTACAAAATGTTCCATCATTATTTTCTTAAGTATGCTCTCTAGACCTTTTTGTTTCTTATCTCCTTCAAGAACTCCTATTATATGGAGGTAGTTTGCTTAATAATATTTGATACTTTCCGTAGGCTTACTTCACTAATTTTAATTATTTCTCTTTTTTGGCTCTTCTGACTGAGTAATTGCATATGTTTTACTTTTAGGACTGCTGATTCCTTACTCTGTTTGACCAAGTCTGATGTTGAAGTTTTCTAGTGAGTTTTTCAATTCACTTCACTTATTTTTTTAAATTGGATTTCTTTTTATTTTTAAAACATTTCTACTTCTTTGCAAAATTTATCATCTTTTACCTGGATTATTCTCTAAAATGTGTTTTTTTCAACTTTATATTCATATGTGCTGTGATTTCTGAATTTTTTAAATAGGTGTGCACTGAATTTCTTATCAAAAATTTTACAGAGCATCTGAACTTTAATTCTGCATTGTAACTTAAAATCAGACTTGCAGTGATTTCTAGGTCTTGGAGAGACTTAAGCAATAACTGAAACTTAATCTCAAATGTTATACTTGTTTGCAGGACATAGTAAAGCTCCTATGAGGAGCTGAGAATTGTAAAAAATACGGGCGAAAGATTCAGACCTTTCTTTGGATTTTGGTCCCTGCAGTGTGATGGTACTGGTCAAACTCTGCAGCATGGCATTCCTGCTAATAGGAACACCAAGCAGTTGCTGAGATCTGTGTGCCTGTCACTGTGATTAGTACTCCCACTCTTGTTTCCAATTCACCCCAGGTCATTCAACCCTCTAGCTGCTCCTAATGCCTCTCCTGGGGTAGGACAAAAATGGGCTTCCCAAAAAGAATCACAGATCCATGAAGAAACTGAACATTCCCCTCAAATTTCCTACTCTGATCTTGGTAACTTCAAGTACAGTTCTCTCACAGTGGTGTGTCTTCTTGGTGTGTGGAAAGGGTGTCATAATCCAAAACAATTATTCATCTTACAGATCATGAGTTTTCCCATGTCTATGAGTCTTGGGATTTTCTTCTTCTCTTTTTAGCTCTGGTGAATTCAGAGTGGCTTTTTTATTTACATAGTTACTAGCTGTCTCTTTGTGTAGGAATTAATTTGGGGGGCATTATTTCATCATTTAACTGACATCACTCCTCAAGGAATATTTTTATGAGTTTGCAAACCATTATGATTTTAGAATTCAGAGTATCTACCAAATATTTAAAAAGCTGTATATTTATTACTTAAGTGTCTTGTATAATTATTTGGTTGTGTACTGTTTCTAGTAAATAATTACTATGTATTGAAGCCATGTGTTTCTAACACAAACTTTCTTGTAGAGACTGGAAGTATATGGCAGAATATAGGGACAATATAATTATACATACGGAAAATTCTTCAGATTTTTATTAAAGCATAGGTAAATTATATTATTCTACATGATATTGCATCTTTATGATGCAGATATTATTTTGGTTGTAGGAAATGAAAGAATTTGTCCATATCTCTGCCAAAGATGGCACCGTGGTGTTTTCTCTGGGGCCAGTTGTGCAAAATCTTACGGAAGGGAAGGCTGATCTCATCGTTTCAGACTTGGCCCAGATTCCACAGAAGGTGAGTACAACCTCCAGTCCTTATAAGCAGCCATTTACACAGTGAAGAA